AGGGGCAGCCGGGCCAAGGGTCACGGGGTGGGGGGCAGCTGGTGACAGGAAGACCTGAAACATCTCTCCCTCCCCCTTCATCACCCTGAACCCCCACCAGGGAATTAGCAGCGCTGCAGGGCAAGGCAGACCAGCCCAGACCCTCGGGCGTCGGGGGGTCTGGGCCCCCTTTCTGGCTCAGTCGACCCTGAGCTGCTCCCCAACAGTGCAGTGTCTTCTATCGTTTCACTCTCTGGCAAACCTCCCAGGGCAAGGAACTTTCCAGGGGCAGGAGAGGGAAAGGGCCCCTCAGTCTTCTACTCCTGGGTCAAGCTCTGAGGGTTAAGACTCAGAAGAGAAAGAGGGACGGGACATGGGGACTGCGCGGGCGGATCCTCAGCCGGCCCCTGGGTGCCCACCCCTAGGCATGCACACCCCACGGTTCCCCTCCCCTAGCGTGGGTGGGCCTGACCTCATCAGGTGAGCTGCAGCTGGGGACAAAGTCAGAGGTCCGAAGTGTGAGCATTTCTCCTGCCGGCCTTGGGCACGTGGCCAGGAGCCGTGGGCAGTGCCTAGGAACTCAGAGCCACTCCGGCTGACAGCCAGCAAGATAACGGGGACCTTGGCTGCATCCTGCCAACAAGCAGTGAGCCAGGAAGGGGACCCGAGCCTCGAGTGTGGTGGCAGCCCCGCGACACCTGATCTCAGCCTGTGAGACCCCGAGCAGAGGCCCCACTACCCACACCCTGACTCCTAACCCACAGAGCTGCCGTGTCCACCGCCAAGTTTGCAGTAGTTCGTGACGCGGCAGCTATCTCATACAGCATAGTCCTGCAGCTATCTCCTGCGAGACTGAATAAACATTTAAGCAGGAAAGGGGAGAGGGGAGGGAGGAGGAAATAAGGAAGAGGGGGTGACTGTGGAGAGGGGCAGGGAGGTGGGCTGCCAGGGGCACGGGACACCCGAAGGTCTCAGGTCCAGCCAGGGAGCACAGCCCCCAAAACACCGAACATCAAAACTGGAAATCATGCAGCTCGGACCCCCAGGCGAGATGGAGGAAAGGAAAGGGCGATCGGGGGCGCCGGGAGGTGTGCAGGCGCCCACATGTGGCCGGACCCCAGGGGTTGGGGGCGGGTGCTGCCCTGGAACCACCAGGAGGGGCTGGGTGCAGACCGCCCGCCTCTTGTCCTCTACGGGAGCTGGGGCAGCTGTTGCAAGATGCTGCACAAATCCTCTCGGGTGAACGCCTCCCAGGAAAGGACAGAGGTGAGGCTGGTTTCCATCGTCCCTCCCCCAGCACCCCACACTCCGTCCTGCTGGCACCAGGGGCAGGCCACCGCCCACTTGTCAGGGATGCCCCGTGACGTCGCCTGATACCACTGGCCGCGCCCCATGTACGGATGAGGAAATAGGCCCAGAGCAGGCAGGGACTCTCCTGGGGAGGGACCAGGACCCGGTCTCAGCTGCTGGTGGGACTGTCCCCAAATCCAGCCCACCCCACTACCCGAGGGGGTTCCCAAACGGCCCTGGCACGTCCCTCCCCTGCGTGAACTGTCTGCAGCACACAGGCCCCTCCTCACGCCCACCCCTCCCGGAACAAGACCTTCCCATGCAGCCCTTAGACTTCGCCTGGGCCAGAGCTACCCCCACTTGCGTTAAGGAATCAAAGTAGTCAGCCTGGCTCCGACTGGTCCCGGCTACAACGGAGTTTTGGGCCACAGGAGTGTCTGATGAGCAAGCAGGCTGATGTTAAGCACTTTAAGAACTTCGGGCTGTTGCTCTGGACCTTTCTCAGCAAGCCAGGGTGAAGAGCCAAGAAGCCCACGACACGACTGCCATCTCGTGATCAGGACGAAGCTCCGGGTCGGTCCACGTGTACTGGCACATGGCGGGGGGGCGGGGGTGGTCCCCGACCTAGCTCCAGAGCGACCATCCAGTCTCCCGGGAAGAGAACCTTTAGCGGAGCCAGTCATAACCGCAAAGCTACAAAAACACACTTGCTACTGGAAGCTCTTAGGTCACTCAGACACAGTGATATCTGTCCTAGACCCCAACTGCTCCAGGAAACTATAAATGAACGTCTTAGCCTGGTGGTCAATAATCCCATGGTGCGGGCCCCTGGTGGTCCAAAAGCCTCCCTCAGGCTTTCTCCCCAGTGTACAGGAAGCCCTGAGCACAGGGTTTCTTTGGGGGTAAATGAAAATGTCCTAAGATAGACTGACGTGACAGACACACAACCCTATGAATATACTAAGAACCAATGGATCGTACGGTCTGTAAAGTAAATCTCAAAAAGAAAGACGAGGGACCCAGAAGACCCTCACCCACAGCAGCTCCTCCGGGGCCGTGCAGGGCCAGGCCCTCAAAGGAGCCAGCGCTCTCTGGGGACATGGCTGGTCCAGGCCTGGGGCTTCCTGCCATAACGAGGGGGAAGGGTCTCAGGAGCCGGCCTGAGAGTTCCCACCAGAGGCTGCGCTGAGAAGTAACCTAAGTGACAGTAAGGGATTACGTATAACCACTGAATCAGACAGGAAGCTTGGGCTGCTGACACGGATCAATGAATAAGAAGTGGAAGTTTGATGAGAAACTGGGCGCCAGGATCCCAGAGCCCCTCCTATAACACTGTGTCAGCCCCCAGCGGGAAGGTCACTTACTCAAGACCCCCCTCCCAACTGCAGGGCAGGTGGAAACCCGGTGGCCTGGGCGGGACGGAGGGAGAGCCAACGTCGCTTCTGCGATGCTCCCGCCCAAGAGGGCCCATGCGCACAGCGGGGGTATTTACTACTCAGCCATAAAGGGAATGAAATTGACACGTGTCCCAAGGCGCATGAACGCTGAACACACGCTGAAGGAAGCCACACACTGATTTTCACTATCTGAAAACCGAGAAAGCAGCACGGAAAGTAGTTAGCGGTTGCCAGGGGCTGGGGGCGGGGGCTGGGAGGGGCCCAGGCATCCTCATGGGTGAAAACGTTTGATGGAGCGTGAATCCTCTCTCAACAAGGCGCTTAAAAAAACGATGCCCCCTTTGGAACACAAGCTTTCCTGGGGCCCAATGGCTGGCGGTCTTATTTAATTTCCTCATTTTGCCTGATGGGAACGTTTCCTCACACCGGAGAAACACTGCCCATCAGAGCAACTGCAACCCACAGCCCACCAGTGCCCACAGCTACGTGACACGGTTACAGCTGAAGGACCCTGAAGACACGGGAGATGTTCACACAAGGTGGCCTGAGAACGGTGACAGGAGAAAGGCGCTGGTTTTAGAACTGCAATCGGGAATGACTGCTGCTTCTTTCCCCCCAGAAACCCCTATAGTATGGCTGCTTCCATACTTTTTGATCAAAGGAATTCCAATAAAAACAAAAAAGCCCACCTGCCTGCACCCACAACACAGCGCTAATAGCAGCAGCGCCCTCCCTCCCAGGGTCCCAGCTGGGGAGGAAGTGACGGCTCGAGCGTGTCAGCCAGGTCACCTCGCCCGTTAGCCAGCCCTGCCCGCCAGCAGTCTGTGGTGGACGTCTCCTGAAGCCGCTTTGGGGTGGTGAAAGGAATGTTCACATACTGAGGCTGGGGAAGTCGTTTTGGCTTATGCATGAGCTAACTTGCATCTGATGCTGACTAGAACAGCCTGTTTGTGGCCTATCAAACATACACTGTCCATCCGCTGTAATTATTAAAGAAAAGGGCGCACTGACCAGAAGAATGTCCACGTTAAACATAAAGGTGAAATGCCTCCCTTCCTGGGAGGCCAACGCTGGTCCTCCTTTGACGGTAAGCCTCCCTCCCAGGTGCCAAGGCCACGCTGACTCGCTGTGTACCTGCCGGTCTGGTTTTCTTTGAAACCTTGAAGGAACGTACCCCTGACCTAACATTCTTTGTTCTGACAGGACAGAAGACTGTGAGGCAAACCCTGCCTCTCCGGAGCAGTTCTCAGAGTTACGACAGGCTGTCTTCTGGGCTATGGTCCTCAGTGTGGCTCAAATAAAACTCTCTTCTATTCCTATCGTAGACTGTTTACTGATTATTTTCGGCAACGGGGAAAGGCCCTTAAACTTTAAGGGACGTAGACTCTGGGACTTGTCACTACCCTCCCTACTCCTGCACCCCACCAGCCCCACCCACCTCACAGCTGGACCAAAACGGGGTCCCCGGGTGTCTACTCCAGGGGGGCCGTGCTCACACACGGCTGGGCTTTGGAAACTGAGGTTTGGCTCCGGCCTCTACGGGTCCCCCCCAGGCTGGGCCTGTCGCCGGGCTGCACGCACCTCAGCCCAGCAGAGGCCGGCCTGGCTGACTGAGGCGGCACGCGCCTGTCACCCGGGCAGCCCTCGCCACGGCCACAGCACTAGCTCTGCCTGGGAGCCACCGGAGCCCACACGGCACTATATCCCGTTTCTATTTTCCATCTAACTGGGACTCGGGCCAAGGGCTGAAACGGAATCCAAAGGAGGCGAGGGGAGGCATGCAGGCACCCACAGGGACCTCATATCCAGCTCTGCCTCAGTCACAGACAAGGGGCGGGCAGGGAACCGACCCTCCTGCCCAGGCAACGGGGTTGGCCCAAAGCACCAGTTCACTGTCAGCTCCCAGCCCGAGCTGATAAAGTGCACGTCCAGACGACGCTGGTAACCCTCGGCCTCATCTTGCCGAGCGTGTCTGAGGACCGCGTCAACAGACTTCGGGGGCAAAACACAAACACCCCCAGAGAACCCACATAAACGCACCACGGCAGGACTGGTTTGTAGGCACCGCGTGGCACTTTATTTACAGATGCCCGGCGGGCAGCCGGTCCCCTGCCCAGGGGGAGTGCCTGCAGGGAGGCTCCAGTCCCGGGGGTCCGCCGGCCTGACCGAGGTCAGCACAGCCGCAGCACATTCTGGGACTCAGGCGCTAAGTGAGGGCCCAACCCCCTTGCCACTCCCCGACACAGTAAGTTGGGGAGCGGTCGGTGTTCAGAGTCTCGGGAACCCAGCCTGACTGTCCCGTCCCCTCATCCTCCCCAGAGCGCCTGGCGGACATCACTTCTGGCCCTCCAGGGCCCGCTTCCTTTTCACCTTTGGCGCCTGGCCATCGGCCGCCTTCGCTCTGGCGCCCGCCCAAGGCCGCCGCCGCCTCCTGGGGGCCCCTCTCCGGCCACGGCCCCCGGGCTGCTCCCGGGACACGGCGGGGTCAGCCCCTGCGCTCTGGCGCCGCCTCGTGGGTGCCGGGCTCGGGTCTGGACATGAGGCCTCCTCTGCAGCTCTCCCTGAAATGGCAAAGCCCTAGTAAACGAGGCGTCGGGAAGGCCGGGCTCCAGCCGCTGTGATGCTGGCTGAGGCGCCAGCCCCAGGGTGGCAGAGGACACACAGTGCTCGCCACAGGTACCGACGGCCTCGGGAGTGGACCCGCGTCGACCCCACAGACGCCTGTGCCAGCGAGGTTGTGTGTTCCACGGCCGTCAGGCAGGGAAACGTACTCGGGCTCCTGACGCCAGGGAGGCTGACGGGGAGGTGGGCCTTTAGGACAGAACAAGAAGAAAGGGAACTGGGCAAAAGCAGGACATCTGGGGCGGGCGGGCCCAGGCTCAGTGCACATGGGGCCAGAGGGTACGCTGGTCGGAAGAGGCAGCTGGGAAAGCAGGGCCGGGCCTCTCAGTCAACGTGACAGCCGACAGTCAGTATCCAAGGCCCAGCCTAGCGCAAGTATGTGAGCCAGTCCACGCCTGCTAAGCGGCCCTGGCGTGAAACGAGCTGGACAGGGTTGGCCCAGGCCGGAGCAGGGGTGAATGGAGAGACCCTTCAAAGGGCGCATCCCCAGGACTTGGGGCCAGTTGACCACACACGGATGATACAGGAGGGGTCTCGGTGGGGGGTGGAGCCACCGCCTCTCCCTCTTCTGTGTCCCCTTCCAGCCAGGGGTGCCTCTGGCTCCTGCCCTGCTCGGTGCTGTGGGCACAGCCCATCCCACTGCAGGGGGCAACCCCAGTGGTCTACAGTGGGTACAGGGCTTGGGGTGTGCCAGGAGCGCATGACAGCCCTTAGCAAGGTCAGTCACGTTCTAACCACAGGCCTGTGGACAAGCTGGGAGAGGGAGGGGAGAGAAGGGGGAGAGGCAGGAAGGGGAGGGGGGAGGAAGAAGAAACCCAAGGTCTAAAGAGCAGTGTAAGCATATACGTATAGGTATACGTATATGCATATACGTAGAGGCGTATAGGTATGTCAGAGGGAGGGGCGGGTCAGGGAGGGGGAGGGGGGAGGAAGGGGGGGGGAGGGAAGACGGGAGAGGGGAGAGCCTCTAAAATCAAGGAGAGCGCAGCGAGGTTAGGGGCTCCCTGAAGGACGCCACGGGAGACGCAAGAGGAGGCAAGGACCAGGTCAGATCAAAGATGGCAAAGGGTCAGGAAGAGGCACCAGACCGGAGCCACAGGGAAGGAGGGCGGGGAACGCAGGGAGTGGCCCACGGGCCAGACAGCAGAAAGAGCCCATGAGCAGCGGGGCGTCGGGGCCAGGGCGCCACATCTCCAGAACACAGGGGCAGCAGGCGCTGGGGGGCAGCAGGCTGGGGAGGGGGAATCACGCCTGGAGACAGGCCTCAGTCACAGGTGACATGAGCGGGGAGCACAGAACGCAGGTAGCGAGGCCCAGGCCAGCAGCCCACCCACCAGGCCTACCTATCTCGTTCTGCAGCCGGGGTTTGGACCAGCGCTTCCTCCTCCTCACCCGTCTCCCCCCCCGCGGGTTCCTGTAGGCTTTTTCTGGGATGTCGTCCTCGGGGAAGAAGCCTAGAGACCAAGGCGGGCCCTCAGGAGGCTGTGGGCTGGGAGGCTATGGGCTGTGCGTCCACTGCCACCAGCACCACGGCCGCGAGCTCCGGGCAAGGAGGCCCCGGCCGGACTCCGCCGCAGCTGCGGGCAGCTCACTGGGCACCAACAGACGGCGCCCAGAAGAGCCGGTTCCTGGAGCGCTGGGACACGTCTCGCTCCATCCTACAGACGCTTATGTTGGGAAGGGGCAGGTGACCTTTCTGGGTCCCGGCGGGTTTGAGTCACACAGGTGTGTGCTTCAGTCTAAGCCCACCAGGTGCACCCGGTATCCATGCGCTCCGCTGAACGTACATTTCCCCTAAAAACCACGCCCCCAGCGTGAAGTACCCGGGAGCACAACCTGACTGAGGGCTGGGCGGGGTGGGGGCAGAAACACAGCAAAACAAGGACACTAAACTGACGGCGGAACCGAGGGGGCGGACATGCAGGTATGCACCGTAAAATCCTTTTCGACTTTGCCACGTGTCTAAAATTTTTCATAAGGAAATGTTGGGGGGGAAACGGTTACATCGTCTATCTTAAACCTTCTAGGAAACTGTCTTTCAGAACAAACCACGCCAGCTCCGCCGGCCACACACCGAGAAGTGGAGCTGGGCGCTGCAGCGCCGAGCAGCAGGCCTGGGCACTTACTGGAAATGCAGGTTCTTGGGCGCCAGGTCAGCCCCTCCCACACACTCAGCCCTGAGATCCCCCGGGCTTCACTAGGACAAGGGCCGCAGAGGCCCTCAGCCTGCCTCCCCTGGAGAAACACCACCTCCAGCCTCTCTGCACCCATCCATGCTGTGGGAGAACACACCACCCGATCCACTCCCAAGAGGACGAGATGCCGTCTAGGCCTGGCGGCCCAATGCTCACCTTCCGAGAGGGCCTGCAACCTGAAAGAACGAGAGACGGTCACCCGCCACGGCCTCTGGAGAGGGGGGAGCCGCCCCCGGGAAGCCCCTTCACGCCCGAGCTCTGAAGCCGGCTGCCCTCCCACGTGGGTGAGGCCACCAGAGAGCGGAGGGCCCGGGGCTACTCACTTCCGGATCACTTTGTAGAGGCGCTTCCGGTTCTGCGGAGGGGTGTCCCGCCGACTGGCCATCTCGAACAGTCTGTTGGCAACGGCCTCGTAGTCGAACTGTTTCACAGACAGACACCGTGGAGGCCAAAGTCAGCCCCTGCAGGTGCTCCCAGGACAGGAACAGAGAGAAAGAGCACGAGGACCACACGCCAAGGCTGTGCCCCAAGGTCCCCCGCTGCTCCGCCCCTCCCCCCGCAAACGCTGTCCCCAGCACACGCGGCAGCAGACGCTCCAGGGCACCGCCGCCCAATGGATCACGAGGGGCACAAGGTGAGCCTCTGCACAACTGTAAACCCTCCGGGAGAAACAAGTAAAATTAATCAGCTAAATTTAACCCAGGCTACCTAAATGTTATTAATTCATCAAGTAATCAACTTCTGAAATGTATCAGGAAGGAACCTACGTGTCCAAGTCGCCTGAAGTCACAGATCCTGCCCGCCGAGCTCTGACCCCGAGTGGGGACCCAACCCCGCTCAGCACACGCCACCCTGGCAGCCCCAGCACCCTTGCCCTCGAGGGGAGCCACAGGCAGACCTGGGGCAGCTGTTGAGCGGTGAAGCCAGAGCCCAGCCTCCCGGCGCCCAGCCCCCAACTCCACTTTCAACAAATCTGCGCTTCTTTCTGCAGACGAGGCTCTGGGGCACCTGTGTTCCTCCAAGCCCCGGTTGGATGGATGTCACCCCGCTCTGCCTTCCAGAGGCCGGGAGCTCAGCCCATGCGGGGCCTGCCCACCCACCTGCAGGACGGTGCCGGTGCTGTCCTCCTCATCGTCGTCGCCCCCCTGCTCCTTGCCCGGGTCAGGCTCAGCCCCACTGACAGAGCCTAGAACGAAAGGGCCCCAGGGACTCAGACACGCCTGGTGCCGCAGGTGTCACGGGGCCCCAGTACCTGGGAACCACCACCTGGGCAGGGGAGCCCACAGCACAGGAGAGCAGGGGCACGGATGGCCTCCCCCCGAGGGCAGCAGTGCCCACACTGGCCTGGAAACGACGGAGCCGTCCCAGAGAAGGTGGGGCCCGACCAGTCCAAAACGTGAAACCAGGAGGGGATCATGAGGGGGCATCTTAGGCGGCAATCGCGGGGCCAGAGGCCCCAGGATGGGGAAGAAGGGCGGCTGGTCCAGCCACGGGGCAGCCTCTGCACGGAGCGCTGGCGGCAGGTGAAGGGTGGGCAAGCTCGCGCTGGCCAGACACCTGGGGCCCTGGCATCACTACCTACAGAAGACAGGTTCGGTCAACAGGTGGCCGAGAGCGACAGGCATGCGTGGCACAGAATGACGACAGCAGGGCTGCAGGCAGGCCCTAGGCCGCCACGGGCCCCTGGGTCAGCCTGTGCCGGCGACTCGGGCTACTGAGGAAGAGGAGGGGGAGAAGGGGGGCCAGGAAGGACGTCCACGACAGCCGGACAGTGTGGCCGGGGTGCTGACCGACGAGAAAGCCCAGGGGCGCGCCAGCAAGGGCACGGGAGCCAGAGGCCACGGAAGTCAGCCCTCGCTTCCACCATCGAACTACCTCCCACGAGGGCACAGGACCGGCCAGTGGGGAAAGGGCTGTCCCTTCAACAAATGGTGGGGGGGGACACTGGACATCCACGTGCAGAGGAATGAAGCTGGACCCTTACCTACCACCATATACTAAAATTAACGCAAAATGGATCAAAGACCTAAAGGAACAATAAAACTCGGAGGAAAACGTAGGCACAAACTTCAGGAGACTGGATTTGGCCACGATTTCGTGGATATGATGCCGAAGGCACAGGTAACAAGAAAAATGAGACAAACCCGACTTGATAAGAACTTTAAATTCTGTGCATCAAAAGGGACTAGCAACAGAGTAAAAAGGCCACCCACAGAGCGGGAGAAGATACCGGAAAATCAGGTATCTGGGGAGGGGTTATTATCCAGAATACAGAAAGAACTCCTAAAGTTCAACAACAACAAAATCTGACTCAAAAATGGGCAAAGGACTTGAACAGACATTTCTCCAAAGATATATGGACGGCCAATAAACACATGAAAAGGTGTTCCCAATAATCATTAGGGAAATGCAAATCAAAACCACAATGATACTACTTAGCACCCATGAGGGTGGCCACTACCAAAAGAAGACAACAACAAACACTGGTGAGGGTGTGGAGAAGCTGGAACGCCTGTGCACTGTTGGGGGGCATGTAAAACAATGCAGCCGCTGTGGAGAACAGCATGGCAGCTCCTAAAAAGTTAAACACAGAAGTACCATACGATCCAGCAATTCCACTTCTGGGTATAGACCCAAAAGAATTGAAAGCAGGATCTCAAAACAGATATCTGTTCACCCATGTTCACAGCAGCGTTAACCACAACAGCTAGAACATGGAAGCAACCCAAGACTCCATCTACCAATGAATGGAGAACAAAATGTGAAATACATACAGTGGAATATGATTAGGCCTCAAAAAGGAGGAACGTTCTGACACATGATACAGCATGGATGAACCCTGAAGATGTTATGCCGAGTGAAATGAGACAAACACAAATACTGTCTGATCCTACTGATATGAACCACAGAGTCATCAACAGTCAGATTCACAGAGACAGGAGGCAGAACTGTGGGTGCCAGGAGCTGAGCTGGGCAGAGGGAGGAACGGGGAGTGTTTAATGGGGACAGATTCACTTTGGGAAGATGAAAAGTTCTGTGGATGGACAGCGGTGATGGCTGCACAACAAGCACACTTACGCATATGGTCAAGGTGGTAAACCTTACATTATGTGTATTTTACCACAACGAAAGGCAAGAGCAGAAAAGTCCTGAAGCTGGTGGACAACACACACCCCTAAAGCCACAGGATACAGTGCACAGGTCACCCAGAGGACAGTCACGAGACCAGATGGCGTCCCACGGAGACCCACTTTAGCAACAAGGTGGACAGGCCAGCCTGGACACCACTGATGCAGAGCCCACAGGCCCTGCCCCCAGAGGGACGTTCACAAGTGCTACCTTCTACTCGTTCATTCACCCACTCACTCACTCATCCATCACGATCTAGCGGGCGGCCCCTCCGTGCCAGGTGTTGCTCCGAACACCAGGTACACAGCATGGCCAACAGTCCCCGTCCTGGCAGAGCTGACATCCGGTGGTGGAAGTCAGGCCAGAAAGATGAACAAGTGATTTATGTAACTTCAAGTGACTTATGCCAGAAAGTGAGAATCACCATGGAAACACCCAGTGAGCGAGGCAGGGTAGGCGCTGGGAGGCTGCACTTGAAACAGGGTGGTCAGGGTAGGGCCTGGAGGGACGGAGGGCAGAGACCCTATCAGGGAGGGGAGAGCAGGGCAGACGCCCCAGGGCAGGAGCAGAGCCCAGGAAGTCATGAGGACATGGATGGCCACAGGGCAAGGGTTGGGAGAGTGAACAACGTGTGTGCTTGTTCCCAAGGTCACCCTGGCTGCAGAGCTGAGCACTGACTTCGGTGGGACGGGCAGAATCGAGGGGACGGGGCAGGAGGTGAAGGCATGGCTCCCGCAGAGCCACCGCGGGCTCAGAGCAGGACAGGCCCGTCGTCCCGATGAGCACGGTCCTCACCTGCAGGGGGCTCCCTGGACGGCGTGTCCCCGTCCCGCTCCTCCGCCAGCTCCTTCATGAGATCCTCGATGGCCAGCGGGGCCTGTTCCACAATCGCCTCAAAGATGCCTCGAGTGATGTTGTGCAAAACCAGGGAGCTAAGGGGCAGCCGCACCGCAGCCACCCGTCAGGCTGGACCCTCCAGGCAAGAAACACCACCTCCCCATGCCCGGCTCTCCTGACCCCAGCCCCTCAGCCCCGCTGGCCCCCGTGCTGGCCCGTCGAGAGCACACAGCATTTCCTAAGGGCAGCCCCCTTGGGGACTCAGCAGAACAGAAGAGGCGAGCAGGAGGGAACCGCACTCACTCCTGAGTCCGGGCGGCGACCGTGCAGAAGGGCCCAATGAGCCTGAGGTTCTGGTCCGCCGTCAGCTGCGGGGACAGAGCTGGGGCTCAGTTCCTGGGCCTCAGGCACCCGAGCAGCCCGGCCGCCGCCCTCACCCTGCCGCCTGCTGCCTACCTGGTGGGCGCCCACTTTGGTCAGCTCCTCCAGGAAGATCTCGATGAAGTGGCTCTTCACTCCGTTGGGGGCCTGGCTGTCGGGGTGCAGGATCTCTGTCATCAGCAGCTCCAGCAGCTGCTCGGTCTGTCTGGGGCAAGAAAAGGCAAGTCCAGCAGCAGCACGAGGGGCAACAAGGCGATGGGTTCACTCTGCCTGAGCGGGGGGCTCTGACGGGACACAGTCACAGGCAGATGCCCCGTCCACCAACACAGGAAGACCCGATGACCTGGGTCTGTGCCGCCACAAAGGATTCCTGCGAGTATATGGATCCACAGGCAACGGCCAGGACCACAACACACGGCAGAACTGAACCTCGGCTATAAAGCAAGAGCCCACCGTGTCTGGTGTCCCTACTGGGAACTGCGCGGGAAGGCTCACCAGGACAGAGCAAACGCAAAGGGAGACAGAGGCCAGAGAAGGGGACGAGTTTGCCTCCCGGGTCCTGCTGGACCGGGCCCGTGGATGGTCACACGTCACATCAGACCTCACCCAGGCACGTGGGTCTCAACAGTCTCAGAGGCCTGAGGAATCCCAGATTAGAGAGCTCCAGAGACCGGTCTTTAGTGGCCCAGACGCACCTGAAACTCCTGGGTGCTTGTTAATATACAGATACCTCCACCTGAACCATAAAGCATGTATCCTTCAAAAAGCTCCCTGGACAATGCTGATGCTGGCAACACCAGGGTGCCTTCCATGGCTCAGCGGAAGGGAGGTAGGCCAGGGGCCAGAGACCTCCTCTGCCAGGCTGCTGACAACAGTCACATTCACATGGACAAAAATGTTACACTTACAGCCCTCTACTCTTAAGAACGGAAAAGGGCTAGAAGAGCAGACACAGCAAGCAGGACTGGTTATCCCAGGGCAATGGGAGGTTACCAGTTTCTTCAAAAGGATCTCTGCGCTGAATTACCAGTGACAATGAGGATGGAACTACTTTCATGGTAACAACCACACCCCCAAGCCCAAGATTAACAGAAATAAAATCGTCCCTTTAACACTGAACCCTGCTTCAGTCACTAGCCACCCCCCGGATAACACAATCCTAAATCCGGAAATGAGTGAGACTCCCAGCCTCAGGTCTTCATAGAACTTTAAGGATGAAAATCACTAAAAGAGGCACCCTTGCCCAAAATGTAAAGTTACCCACAGTCATTCTCAACCTATAACAGTAATTCCAGTAACTGCAGGCCAAATCCTGCTGACCTTTTATGGGGGCAGGGGGGCTGTTAGGCCAGGGACAGTTTAACTCTGCTATTCAGAAAATGTGGCAGTCCTAGAATAACATGGCCGTAAGCTGCATTCTCTAGTCTGGCAGCTATTTTGACATCTGGATCCTACATTTATTATCCTTGGGCTTAAAAATAAACTCCTTTACCATCACTTTTTAATCACAAACCAATTCAAAATACACTGTTTCTAAGCCCTCCCCCCCAGTGCCCGCCCTCCCCAAAACATGCAGCACCAGGACACTGATATGAGACATTTTTGACACATTCTCAGTAAAATAAATAAGCAGTCTGCTACACCACTTTTGGACCATGCAATTAGGCAACACTTTAAAAGTATCAATAATTGTCGGGGAGTCCCCTGGTAGCCTAGTGGTTAGGATTCCACGCTTCCACTGCCGTGGCCCGGGTTCAACCACTGGTCAAGGAACTGAGATGCCACAAGCCGCACAGCGCATCCATAAAAAATATATGTATATATTAAAAAAAAAAAAGTAACTGTCTGCTAGAGTTAAAATTGCTTTTCAATGTTTATAAAGTTTCCTGAGTTCTTTATAATGAACATCCATCACTCTCATAAGTAGAAAAAAGGTTTTTTAAAATTTTAATTAATTCCAAAAACTTTAAAATGTAAATGCTCAGAAACCCACTTTCTGTTGTGATCTCAGACTGCCCCCAGGAGGTCTGGAAACCTGCTGCTGTAACCTGGATGCAGAGCCTCAGGCAAAGGTGCAGGTCCAGGCTGCAGGAGCCCCGCCCCTGCTTGGTCTCCAGGAGGGAGGAGCTAAGACGCAGCAGAGCCTAGCCCAGCCCAACCTGAGGATCCCACCCGGCTGCCAGGTGCCTGGGGAGGCCTGAGGTGAGGCAGAAAACACAGGCCCTTACAGTTTGGAGGGACACACACAAACACCACTGTCAAAACTGTGAAGTCCGGACGGCTCAAGTATTTGCAGAGCTGAGAGCAATGACCGCCGATGACAGAGATGAAGGTGCCACGTTTTACAAGAACAGCTGCTCAGCTGCACCTCATTTGGGGAGGACTTAGTTCTGATCCAGTAAGAACTCACCGTCAAGGCTGAAATAAACATTCCCACGAACACGTGCACAAACTTAATTTTAAAAATGCCTTTGTTTCCAGCACTAAGTCACCCTTCAATATAAAGCTGACAAATGAGTAGAGGAGAGACCCAGACTGGCCCGAGTGGCACAGGCTGCCACAGGCCGCTCTAGGACACTGACCTCTCATCCCATCCGCGCATCTTCAGGGCCTTCAGTGACTCGTGCAGGACCATCCGCATGAGCTGTGGCACAGGAGGGGACCCCGTTAGTGGCACCACCCAGACCTCCCCTCTGCCCCAGGCCATCTGGGCACCCCACTGCACATGGCAGGCCCTGAAGAGCTGCTGGGGACCTGGGCCTGCGGGAGGCGCCCAGCCTCCCAAGAGTAGCAGGATGTCGGGCTCACAGCAGGGACACGGGGAGTGACCACACACCACAATCGGCAGCTGCGAGGGACGGGCTTGTTTCCGGAGTGAAAACGGGACGACGTGGAGCTCCCCCAGGAGAGCAGAGCCTCGGAACCCCCAGGTCTGCGCCGGAGACTGTTTCCTCTGAGCACCCCCTGAGCTTCTCCCCACCCGAGGGAGAAACCAGTTTCCTTCTCTGCCCACAATCCCAGGCACAGTGGTTGACTGCCCGGTTTCCCTACCTGCTGGCATGAACCCAACAAGCCTGCAGGGGGGACCCGTAGTGGTGAAAGGCGACAGAGGACACCTGTGGTGCCACCAGGAAGACCAGCCTCTAGAGCAGGGCTGCGCTGCCAGACATGGCCACGGGGGGGTGGTGGGAAACAGGCCGCGGACAGCACCAGAACCCCCGACCTAAGGCCCAGTACTGCATCCCGGGACACAGCCCCTGAGTCATGAGCGGGCGTTCTATCACCGGGCAGAGCCCGGCGCCCGGCCCCGCCTGCCCACACGCGTCAGCGCCGTCCTCCTTCTCCCGAGCCCCGTGCTCACCCACCAGCTGCCCTCACTGTAACGCCTGCCATCACACACACGGTGACCGTGTAACCCTGACCGACACAGAGCGGGTGGCCGGCCTGAGGGGCAGATCATGGGGACCTGTGCTCAGCGAGGCCTGGCTGCTGCCCCATCCAGCGTCTGCATCGGGCCACCTGCACTCGGACAGCAGCACTCATCTGGGGACTGTCCCCAGTCGCAGGGGACACCGGCGCAGTAACAAAGCTGCAGCTCAACAGGGGCGGCAGCAAGACACAGTCCAGTTTTCCCTGCATTTCTGAGCGCAGATCAATGACCTAAATTCACCAGAACGCAGCACAGGAAAGGAGAAAGACAGGGAAGATTCTGCACGCCGTTATGTAAACTGTCCCTGCCCAGAGAAAAACACCTTCCAAAGCCAGCCCCCCCACGAGCAGACCCAGGGGTCTCTGTCCAGGGCCCGAGCTCTAAGCTTTGCTTTCACGGCAGCAAAGCAGCAAGGGCTTCGCCACCGAGTCTCCCCCAGGGGCAACTGTGACCCTCCTCCCCTGAACCGACAGTTTGTGCAGAACCCCGGCATGCGTACCCCACGTGAGGCCGAGGCTCCCCTCACAGCCCAACTAGGCTCACAGGGAACAGACCGCAGGGCGCTCGCTACCCAGCAGCCCTGGTCCTTGGCACTGCGGGGGCAGTGGGGGGCTCAGGGGCCCGGGCGGGGAGCAGGCAGCTTCCTCACCACATAGAACTTGTCCAGGCGCAGCCGATCGACGCCCATCCACTCGCGGTTCATGGTCTGCCAGAATGTCCGAAGGAACAGGTGCTCTGGCGGAAAGAAAAGGCCAGAAGAGAGTCGGGGGTGGGCAGGGGAAAGCAGCAGCTGCCTGCGGAGGGGAGGGGAGGGGCGGGGCCGTGACAAAGCCCTGTCAGGATGTCGCATGGCACCGGCCTCGGGGGTGCTGAGCCCCTGAGTGTGCTGAGCTGACAGCAGCGCTATGGATTTGGCTTAAAAACAGGGCCTTCAGGAACCTTGGAAAGAAAAGCAAATCCCAGCTACAAGCGCAAACTGAAGTCACAGCGTCTGAAGGTGAGGCAGAGAGCACTGGACGCCCCAGCACGAGAAGCAGCGCTCGGGCCGCCTCTCCCCACGCGACCGCTGCCGCCGCCCCACCGCGGCGGGGGCTAAGGACCCTGCGCGGCGCCCCCGCCCTGCCCCAGCACTCGCCCCACTGAATCCACTCACCTGATCAAACACAAAACGCTGCCAATAACAGTACATCAGAACCGGAGTGCTACGGGCTCAACCAGGTCCCCAGCCCACACCTTGAATCCCTAACCCCCAGTCCCTTGGAATACGACTTTATTCGGAGACACAGTCTTTACAGAGGTGGTTAAGGTAAAAGGCCACTGGGGTGGTCCTAATCCCATCTGACTGGTGTCATTCAGAGGAGATGAGGACACAGACACACACAGAGGGACGACCACGTGAGGACACAGGAGGAGACGGCCGTCTGCATGCCCAGGAGAGAGCCCTCGGGAGGGACAGGCCTGCTGACGCCCTGACCTCGGGACACAAGGGGCCCCCCACCTTTTCTTTTAATATTTATTTACTGTCTTGCTTTTGCACCGGCTCTTAGTGGTGGTGCTCGGGTTGCTCATTGTGGCATGCGGACGTCTTATTGCAGCACGTGGGATCTGACCAGGGATGGAACCCGAGCCCCCTGCCTTGGGAGCGCGGAGTCTTACCCGCTGGACCACCAGGGAGGTTCCCAAAGGGCACCTCTTACCTCCCACAGGACAGGCCTGCGTTCACCACCTCATTCAAGTGTCACCAAGTGAACGCTCTGTACCTGGCCTTCTACTGAGCACAGAAACTTCTGGAGGTTCTTAGAAGGTAAAAGTTATAGAGGATGGGCCTCCTCCAGTGATACTCAAACGCAGTTAAGAGACTCTCCCAAATGGAGAAAGCAGTTACTGTAACTGCACACTCCCTACTTTTGACTACTTTGCCAGCTTACGTATAACTGAACTAAACCCACCCACACGGCCGGGGCACCACCAGCAACGGTGCTGGGGTCCACGCCAGTGACGCTGCCCAGCCCTAGCTGCCCTCGGAGCAGGTCAGGGGGTGTCGCAGATGCTAGTGCCCAGGCCCCACCCCCAGAGCTTGACCTAATGGGACCAGGGTCTAGACATCAGGATTTCTAAAGACACGACGGGCAGGCCGCAGGGTTGAGAACGACTGAAGTTGGTCAGAACAAGGACGCAAGAGTTAGAAAGATGCTCTGCAGGAACCTCACCACCGTCAGGTGAGATTCAGTCAGACGGCTGCTGACACTACACCGCTTTCCTCTGTAATTCTGAAATATAAGGGTTAGCCCTCTAGACTCCTGAAATGAGTCTACTCTGGGCAAGTGAGTGAACACGTACAGGACAAACAGAACAGCATCTCCCATGTCAGCACCAGCAGACGCCAGCTGGGACGGGGCCCTCACTCCCACTCTCAGAACACAGGCCTCGTGTCCAGGGGCTGGGTGCGACCACGGCGGGGATACTCACGTGCCTCTGTGGTCTGGAAAGCATGGATGAGCTGGGAAATGGTCCTGCCAAGTTCCTCCTGCGCAGGAAACAGAACAAACGCCCTCAGTCCTGAACAAACGTGATCCTACATCAACGAGCAATGGCAGTAAGACAGACATTCAACCGTCCTCACTCGTCGCGGGGTCCGGCTCCACGGGGCCTCGCAGCCCAGCGAGCTTGGGGTTTGCAAGTCTCACACTGGCCGCGAGAGGCCTCCCCTGAAGGCCAGGGCCCACAGGACCTCACAACAAGCAAGGGCAGGGACTGCCCGCATGACCGATGCTGAACCCTAAGCAACGCAGGCTGACAGGAAGGGGCGGGAGAGCAGGAGCCTGGGAGCACACAGCCACCTGACCAGCAGAAAGGGGGCTGATGAGACCCCTGTAAGTTACCAGCTGCCTGCCCGTGTCACTGTGCCAGGCACCACCTAGTGCACTGGCTAAACAGACGATTCCAGAGCCCCCCCCCCCCCCCCACCACACACACACACCAGGGAGGAGAGGCAGTCACTATGGCTCCCGGGCTCCGGCTCCAAGGCTCCCGGCACTAGGAGCTATTTTCAGCTTTCATGCCCCAGGACACGGCCAGAGCTACCCCCGAGAGCTCCTAGTATATCAGCCGTGGAATACAGCACAAGAACCTGCATTTTAAATAAGTACCGTCACCACCCAGGTGATTCTGAACAGTAAACAATTCCCACTGGGAAACACTTCTAAAAAGGCTAGTATCTTAGGGCAGTGAAACTACTCTGTAAAATACCATAATGACGATGCACGTCACTGTACCTTTATCCACACTCACGGACTGTACACCACCAAGAGTGAACCTTAAGGTAAGCTATGGACTCTGGGTGATGATCACGTGTCATGTAGGTCCATGGACGGTGACAAAGGTCCCACTCTGGTACGGGTGATAACGGGGGAGGCTGTGCTTGTGGGGGAGGGGGTCAGGAGGCACATGAGAAGCCTCAGTAGCTCCTTCTCTCATTTTGCTGTGAACCCAAAACTGCTCTAAAGAATAAAGTCTGTTTTTCTAAAAAAGGCTAGCAGAAAAAATACTTGTCTCAGAAGACTTGAATTCCGTCCCCTGGTTTCCAGCATTTCAGCACTTAATTGCCATCTGTGACAAACACAGAACAGACAACCCGGTTTTCAGCCATGACACACACTGGCATTCAACAGTGTTGCTGCGGTGCTCAACTGAGCGAGCGCAAGGCTCACTGTAACACAAGGCCCTGGCCATTAAAAGCAAAAAGAGGATTGAAGCTGTAAAACTTTGCCCAGCATGTCTGCAGTAGTAAAATGAGGGCGACAACGTGCTCGCCTGTCGTCCCACTGTTTCTGCTGCCCCAGCTCCTTCTGTACCCTCCCGGGCACTCACCTGGAGGAGTGGCTTGTCCTGCATCCACATACAATAGAACAGTCCTTTCCACACCTTCAGCAGCTCGTCATGAGTGAAACCACCTGCACCAAAAACAGCAACACTCAGAACACATGAACCCAACTTTTTAGGGCCAGAGAAATGCGAACGCCTGAATTAGACCGAAGTCATCTTACTGTAAAGGTACCTGGCCCTCCCTCTCAAGCCATCCTCCCAACTCAGAACCTGCTGGGCCTGTGGCTGGAAGGACTCCCCCAGATAACTGTCATTTCATTCATTCAATACACATTTACCGAGAATCTACAAGTAACAGGCGCTGTACTCCATTTCTGTAGATTCAAAATTGAGGGAATCACCATTTCCTGGTCTGGATGGTGCCTACTCAGGTGAGTCTGCTGGCAACAATTCACCGGCGTTACACCCGGGCTTTGTGTACTTCTCAAATTTTAAAATTACAAGCTACCTCATTCAGGGTCGTTATGAAGGCAGATACTGAACATATAAAATCACCCAACAAGTATGTACTGAGGTCCTAACTACGTATCTGGCACCCTGTTCCAGAGCAATGGTTCTCAGACTTAGCAACAGGATCACATCACCCAGAGGGCTTCTTAAAACGGATTTATGGCCCACTTGTCAGAGTTTCTGATTCAGCAGTACGGGGATGGGACCCAATAATTTGCATTTCTAACCAATGCCCGGGTGATGCCGAAGCTGCTGATGGGGCCACGTTTTGAGACCCACATTTTGAGAATCACTTAGGAAGCATGTCCTCTGAGGACTGTACACCACGTGAAACTCAGACGACAACCCAATAATTACACAAGAAAAAGACTACCAACAGTGATAAATGCCGCTCTGAGGAAAAAACACAGGGTGCCCAAACAGTGGGTAGCAGGGATAGCGGGATATATGTGCTGATGCGGGGACCGGTTCCCAGAGGAAGGCAGGTCTTAACAGCGAAGATGAAATAAGGGGCTGGGGAGGGGGAGCCTCCGCATAGGGACACGTGCCCACCGCAGCAGGAGGTGAGCGCCGCGCACCTTCAGGGCAGCCAAGGTGGGGAAGGGGCGGAGGGCCAAGCGCTCAGGCGGGAGCACGAGCGGGAAGCGGGGGACGGGTGGAAGCATCGCCGCAGGCCCCTCCCGCTCGGCCCGACCACGTGGAGACTCCACGAGGTTGGAAGGTCCCCTAGCCCGGATGGCCGGCCCGCGCCCCCCACCCGGCCCGTCCGCCGAGGCGCCCCCGCCCACATGCCGCCAACCCCGCGCCCACCTTCGGTCCGCTGAGTCCTGGCGACAATGTATTTCCGGAGTTTCCTCACCGCCCGGTCTCGGGTCACCTGCTCGTTCCCTGCCAGGCGCTGCGCCAGCTGGATTTCTGGCGGAAGCTGCACCCGCGGACCCATGGCGACCGCGCCGATACCCCAGGGTATCAGCTACCGCACCGCTTCGCCTGGGCGCACGACGTGACGTCACAAGACCGCGCCGGCTTCTGCCAGGTGCAGCGTGACATCACACGCCCGCGCCGGCCTCTCTTGGACTCAGCGTGATGTCACGCGCCCGCGCCGGCCTCGCCCGGGCCGCACGCCACCGCCCTCTAGTGGCCGGGCCAGGAATGACAAATCCATCTGGCTCTGCCTCGGCGGATAGTCACTCTGGATACAGGCAATTAAAAGGAGGTCATTAGCGTTTGCCCGCCTTTGGGGAGTGTGGGAGGGGGGTGGTGGTGCCGTAGTTTCCCCCCGGCTGCTGAGGGAAGACACTTCTTTATTAAAGAACGCCAGCGAGCACAAGCAGAGGAAAGCCCCCAGTGAATCCAGTGAATGTTGGGTCAGCCAAAGTCATCACAAAATGCCACGACGCCGGGTGAAGGTGGTCGGGGCGGGGAGGCGGGGG